CTTTACATTGAGGGAAAATCATATATAAGGCATAATAAAAGTAGGAGCAATTAACTTTTGTTAACATTAGGATAAAATGAAAGCCTTTCTAGAATTAAGGTTGCTTTTTCTGTTTGTTTACCTCTGGAAATATACCAGTAAGGGGAGGAGTGGGAAGCCTGTCTTCAAATTCTAAGGCAGCCACCAGTCACTAAACTATCAAAATGAATGATCTCATTTGGACTTGCAGTTTAATAATAGGATATATGTGTGAACGCCCCGAAAGAAAATGAGTTGCTCTGCTAGTCTATGGTCTGGAGTACCCTGTTCCTACTCTGTAAATGAAGGTCAACTACAGCTGAGAGTGCATGCCATATTTTATGTAAGACGGGGCCAGGCTTACATAAAGCTAAGCAAGAAACAGGGGGTATAGAAGATGGCTCAGCAAATATGAGGACCCAAGTTCAACCCTCAGCACAAAAATCTAGGTATGGCCTCATCAGTATATATAGTGACAGTCAAGGGAACAGGAGGAGAAGGCAGAGAAATGGAATTACTCAGGCTTGCTTGTTGCTAATATAGCCACAGGTTCAGTGAGACAGTGATCAACAGCGCAGGACCCCCCAACACCTTCCTTAAGCTTCTATATGTGTACCCACAGGTACAGTACAGATTGATATGTTTCAGGGCTGGGAGTAAGGCTCCACAGCCTGTGTGCAGCCTGGGTAGAAAGGGCAAAGCAAATTTGCTTTAATTCAACTAGATTTTCAAGCAAAAGATGACAGGTAACCTACCCTGTCAATTTCTAAGAAGGCCTCAGGCAGAGTGGCTCCCAACTGCTACTATCATTTATGTGTGAGATTGTTCAGTAAATACACTGAGCAGTTATATTGTGTACCAGGTACTGGAGTTCAAAGGCCCAGAGAACCTTAGATCAAAGTTCCCATGTTCGAGGATTACACAGCTGAAAATGGAAAATAGTGAAAATAATAAATTCAATTTTTGTTTGTTGAGACAGGCCTCAGTATATGGCCCTGGCTGGCCTGGAACTCTCTGTAAATGATGCTGACCTTGAACTCACAGAAATCTCCCTGCCTCTACCTCCCAGTGCTGGGATTAAGGCAGTACACCACCACACCTAGCCCAATAAAATAAAATCTTATTTTGTTTTGAGACAATGTCTCTCTATGTAGCTATGGCTGTCCTGAAACTTGCTATGTAGACTAGGCTGACCTCAAATTGGAGGTAGCCTCCCAAGTGCTGGGATTCCAGGCATGCACCATCATGCCTGGCTAAATTCAACTCTTAAGCACATTTTTAAACTTGTAATTTCCATCTTGTTGCAAATTTTAACAAACTAAATTTTTCACAACTGATTCTACATACTTAAAATGTAAACTTCCGTTAAATACAAGTATTCCCAAAGAAAAATATGTCTCAAAAAAGCTAACAAACTTTATCTGCATTCACTTATATTATAGAGAACTCATATTTTAAGGAGGTGGGTATGGTAGTATTCTAATATATGACCAAAGCCTACACTGAGATTTTCTTTACATAATAACAAGAAACTCCATCACCAAAATTAGCAAAGTTATGTATATATACATTTATGGGGTACAGTATGATAATCCAATATATGAATACACTGTGTAATAAATCTTATATGTGGTGATGCAAAAAAAAAGAATAGCTTCTAAATCAAATATTTGCAGGTAAATTTAACATTTATGTTAAAAAAATTGGCAAAGTTAAAAATTACACCAACTCAGGGGAGGAAGGGAGGGAGAAGGGAACTGGGATTGTCATGTAATTCAATCTTGTTTCTAATTCAAATAAAAAAAATGATAAAAAAATTACACCAACTCAAGTATACACACAGCTTTTAACTTGGCAATTTTTTCTGTTTCATTTCTGTAAGGGCTTGAGATATGTGGAAGAGGCCAGGAATGAGAAAACAGGCAGAAACATTAAATGCACTAGCAGTAGCAGAACCAGGACTCAATCAAGGTTTCATCCTGAGTTCTCTCCTTTGCCCAATGGATGTCCTAGTCACAACAGGTAACTGACAGCAAAACCCAGGGCTCCTCCTCCCCATCTGACAATGCTGTTACCATCCTTATCACCCAAAGAGGGCAAAATAGCTATTCTACCTGTAGGACATGTCTGGCATCTGCTCTACTAAATCAGATCTGCACCATGTCTCCTGGCCCTAATCCAATTAAAACCACGCAATGCTGTCAAGTGGTGCAGAAAACATCTTTGCCAATCTTACTCTCCTACTTAAAAACTTAGGAATTAGGGTGTAGTACATAGACAACATGGGCAACAAGATAAAATAAAAAGCACCTCTATTTACCACAGTCTTAATTTTGTAGCCTAATAACTAAACCCCTTCATTTGTTCCACATCTAAATCTTTTTTTTTTTTTTTTCTCCTGAGACAAGGTTTCTCTAAATCCTGGGCTGTCCTGGAACTCACTCTGTAGACCAGGCTGGCTTTAAACTCACACATCTGCCTGCCTCTGGCTCCCGAGTGCTGGGATTAAAGACGTACAGCACTGTTGTTTTTCTTTTTTTAATTGTTGTTGCCTTTTAAGCTTGGCTATCCTATTCAACAACTGTAATTCCGCAGCTACCAGCAGCAGTTAGGCTGCAAGAGCTGAAGCCTGAGGCAGGCACCGGCTCTTTTAAAGCTACTGAGGAAACTTACTTAAATCTCTGTCCTGCTTAAAAAAAAAAAAAAAAAAAAAAAAAAAAAAAAAACCTCAAGATTCAAAGGTTGAGGTAAAATACTTCCCAGAAAAGAAACAACTCACCTAGCTCACTGTTTCACGTTTCCTAAGAAGTCCCTGTGCTTTGCCTCATCCCTCCTTATAAACCCTTCTCCACCTGGCTCCTCCCTACAACTTCCAGTCAGCTAGCTGTGACTAGGACCAGCCTCCACAGATGAATTTTATTTTATCAAACACATCTTTGCATCATTAAACAAATGCTCCAAAGCATAAACAAAAGTAACACACCCTAAAGTAATATTCTACAACACACCACCACCGCCCAGCCCACATCTAACTTTTAAATCTTATTTCCTAATACTATATTTCACATACCTTGTGTTCTTTCCAAGATCAGTGTACTGCACTCTAACCTGTTCCTACTTCTGTGTTCATTTAGCCTGCCTCCATTGCAAAGGGCCCAATCAAAAGGCACTCCTATAAGCAAGCATTGCTTGAATTCCAGAAGTCAAAGTAATTACCATGTTTTATGAATTCCCTAGTCTTCAGACTGTACCACTCTGGATTTTCTAACCTGTATTAATGTTACTTATATAAATCATAATCTCCTTCACTGTGGCTCTCAGATAAGAACTGGATTGCCTAACACATTTACTTAAACAAAGATATTCTGAGTACATAATGTATTTATCAACAGGGAATATAGCCATGGGGGGAAAAAAACAGACCAAAACTCCTATCTTCATGAAAGTTACCTCTTGGGGTGGAGACTAGGTAAAACAATAAAAGGACACTGTAAAGTGGTAAATGCTGGGGTGAAAAATACAGCACATTAAGGGTGATAAAGAGCTAAGAGGTCTTGATGAGAAACACTGAGAAAGGGATGGACAAAGAACAAATCAACAATACAAATGAAAGCTCTCACATAAGAGCAGATATAGCTGTTTTGTGGGAAAGGAGAGACTACTATGGTTGATTCTAAGTGAGCAAAGTTAGGAGTGATACCATAGTAGAGTAATGTTATGTGTCAGACCATGTGGGTGCCCCTATAAGCAAGACACAAAGCTGAAAGACATAAAACACACCTGCAATCCATTTATTTTGCCAGACCACAGTTATTTTTCTCCTACAGTCATCACAGAACTTTATACAAGTGTGTTAACTTTAAATTTATTCACATAAAATTAGTACAATTAGGTATATACAAAATTGAATATGCAGTGGGGCATGTTTTAATCTGAAATATATACTTAGTTCTACACTACAGAAGTATGTACTACACGTTTTAGTTTGTCAAGCAGGGACTTTTAAAATCTAATGCAATTTTTATTAACTATAACTTTCATGTTATACACTAATCTCACAACTTATTCTACTTACCTGTTACTTTGCATCCTTTGACCTAATTCTCTTATTTACCCCACCATTATCACCATGTCATTCTACACAGAAGCTCTTGTGTATATCACAACATATATTGATAAAATAAGTCAGAGTTTAGGTGAAGCTTTTTATATTTTCTATAGAAGAAAAGGGCACTATTTAGTCATGTGTAAATGGAACGTTTTTCTCATCCCTAATAGCACTTTCTTTACACAGTATCAGAAGATAGCATTACTTCTACTTTACAGCAACAGAAAGCATCTCACAATGTGGGTTCTCAGGGCAAGGTCACTCAGGAAACTGACTCTACTATACCTGGTTGCTATGTAATCTTAAAATTTTAGTTTTGTTGTTTAGTTTAGTTTTTTTTAAAAAATAAAATAAAATAGAAGAGTCTCCCCATGTAGTCCAGGGTGGCTTTGAACTTGAAATAAATTCCCTTATACCAGTGCTGGAATTACAGACTTGTGCCACCATATCTGGCTCTAAAAGTTCAGTTCTTAGGTCTTTACTTCTACATGGTTTTTACTGCTATCTAAAGGTTTTAGTCACCTGAACTTCACATTTAGCTGATTTTTCTTGTGTGTGCATGCCAGCACATAGGGTGAAGTGGGGATGTCCCATATGAGACAACATCTGTAGAAAACATAGTTCCACCTTCTTTTTCCAGACAGGGTGTCTCAATGAACCTGGAGCTTACTGATTCAACAAGACTAGATGGGCAGATGTGTGCTGCAAGATGCCGGGCTTTTTATGAGGGTGATTACAGCTTTAATAGCTTTACCAACTGAGCCTTCTCCCCAGTTCCTTGGCTAACAATTTTAAACCCATACTTATAAATACTACAGTACCTAATCTCCAATCTACCTTAGCGACATTATTAGAAATCCAAGTTTTAACTTACATGTAAATTAAATATGGTCTTTCTTTTTAAGAGCAGAGACGATTTATTCATTTTCATTTTCTTAGGAATGCTATTCTTTATTCCCATTTAAAGTATTTAACCATGGCAGAGCAGTTCCACCCTGCAAAGAAAATATAAAGGTTGGTGAAAGGACTGAAAATTGCTAAATACTTTAAAAAATAGTTACTGGTCTCCATGTTCTTTTCATTTTACAAGTACCATAAAACCCACAGCTGACTAGTTTAAAGACCTCTGCTCTCGGACTTCCTCTTTCAACTTTAAAGTACCGAATGGGCACATGATCTAGAACCTCAAGAAACAGGACTTAAGACATAGTCTTAAATTAAATGTCTTGACATTATAGCAAAGAAATGAAAGAAGCACGATCCCAAAACATTGCGTTTTTGTGTAATTGCAGGAAATGGAAGATTCATCGACCCTATTACGCGCTACGGAATAAAAACAATCATGATCAAAACGTTGTAGCAGGCTGAAACCATCTTCTAAGAACTCATGAAGGCAAATAAAACTGATACACAGAACTTATCGAGCACGCGACCGCACAGGGCCAACCAGCCAGACTTCCGCTGGACTGAATGGCAACGCGACTCACGATGGACTTCCTCACTGCGGATCACTAGGGAAGCTGCGTCCACCTCAGAACACGCGAAACAGAAAGTCGCCCCTGGGGCCTTTCTCCGACCTCTGACGGCCGAGACTGCCCACAGCTCAGCCCTGGAGCTTGCTTACAGGAAGTAGCTACCTTAGGGCAGTCGCAGGCCGGCGGGCGACGCGGCTCCCTCCGGGACCCGACCCAGGTGCCCGCTCACACCCCCACGCAGGCAGCTCGCGCACACGGCCACCGCCTCCGGCGACGTCCCGCGGGAAGTTCGTGCATCCGGGACTGCAGTGAGCGCCGCCTCCTCCATGGGAGAGCCAAGAAGAGCCTACCTCGGACAGCCTTCGGCGGCACCGCCGCCAGCACCAGAGCAGCCGCCTAGAAGCTGGACGCAGCTTAGTGACGTAAAACGCGCGCTCAGGGCGGGCCCAGTCTCAGGCCCCGCCCCCGCTCGCCTCGCAGGGCTCTTCGCTCCGCCGGTGCGGCGATCTGGAAGTAACTCGTGCGTGTCTTCTGAAGTGGATTATGACCACCGCCTGATCAAAGAACAAGCCCAGTATGCCTCGTATTTAAAATACTAAACTGCGATTTCCTGGGAGCGTTCACGTAGGATCTTTGGGACTGAGAGTGTCGGTTTGACCGCAAAGGGCGGAAGTAGGTGGAACAAACGTAAATTTCCAGGGAAAGGGCAAGTGGTTGATTTGGTAAGGTTTGTGGTTTGATAAAAGCTTGTGGAGGAGCTTGTGATTTGGTAAGAGCCCGTCTTGCAACACTTAGTTCTTTATCACGAGATACACAGGAATCCCAGTAATAGGCTTTCTCTGCTCCTTCTGCATTGAAAAATTCATTGAGGCCCGCTGAAAATCCTTGCTTACAGGTGTCTTGAATGCGTTACTCCGGTTGTGACTAACCTGAAGAACACCTGTTCCGGGAGGGAAGGAATCCTTGTAAAATGAGTTATATGGTAATTGAAACAGAAAAACAGAAAAGGTAGTTTTCCTGTTTCCTGTTCTAATGCTTTGGGAGTGGTGTCTTAAGACACAGCTGGAGTGGCTGGGCTACTAACAAAAACTTTTACTCTGCTGTCAACTTGACAGCCATTCACCCATGTGTCTTAGAAGTCACTTTGAGGACTTATTTAGCTTAATTCGTTGTTCAGATAATTTCTAGATGAAGTATAAGGTAGAGAATCATGATGGGCAAGTTGGACTTCGATTGGTCTATTAGTGAAGAATATGGCTCCAACCTTCCCCTTCCCCACCTTTCCATGTGTCCGCGCATTTTACAGGACTGCATTCCCATTCCCCCTGAATCTGCATTGGCCCAGAACTGGTGTTGACAAAAAAAAAAAAAAAAAAAAAAAAAAAAAAAAAAAAAAAAAACACGCCAGTTATTCGAATGAGCATTGATAAGAAGCCCGGAATGGTCGGCAGAAGGGAACAATGTAGAACAAGATCAGGAGCAAAGCTATCCTCCTGACTTCCTGGGTAACTCTTAATTGCAGGCAAGGGTCAGGTGAGTCAACATCAGCAAAACTGCTGCAGTCTCATTTTAGCTTGAATTGATGGGCAGCAATGACTAACTGATAGGGATGCTAACAGACACCTACAAAGAGCAGGTTTTTATCATGGAAATGCTGGTTGATTCATTTGAATAGAAGTGTGTAGGATCAGCATTGTAATTTAATCAAAATCAAGAATTGACTTGTTGCACCTTTTTTGCCACTGTTCTAATCATCCTAGGTGCAGCTGTGTCTCAGCTATGTACTGTCATCGTAATCCTAAACTACTCTCATATTCATTATCTGGCCCTCATAATGAACCCTCTTGAATCACACAGTGAACTCTGTGTGTGTGTGTGTGTGTGTGTGTGTGTGTGTGTGTGTGCTGTATGATGCAGGCTCTTTAAATTCCCAAGTCGTTTTTCCAGTACATAATGTTCCATATCTTATACTTTGTGAATGTTCAGACAGTGATCATGGGATACTTTTAAAGTTTTAAAATCTAATTTTTCTAGACCCTTAAGAGACAGAGACAGAAGGATTGCCACAAGACTAGCCTGAGCTATATACAGTTTCAGAGCAGCCCGAGCTACAGTGTGAGACTTTGTTTCCAAAAAAAGGAAAAACAAAAAATTAAAATTGTAATTCTTTCTTATACGTTGTTGATGGAATTAAAATAGCACAACATTGGAAAATAGGTTGGCAGCTTCTACAAAAGTTAAATATAGTAGCTGGGTGGTGGTGTTATACTGTTTTAATCCCAGCACTCAGGTGGCAAAGGTAGGCAGATCTCTAAGTTACAGGACAGCCTGGTCTACACCAAGAAACCCTGTCTTGGGAAAAAAATACATACATACATACATACATACACACACACACACAAGTGTGGTGGAAGATGCCTTTTTTCTTTCTCATTTTTTTTCAAGAGGATTTCTCTGTAGCTTTGGAGCCTGTCCTGGAGCTTACTCTATAGACCAGGCAAAGTTGCTCTGTAGACCAGGCTGGCCTTGAACTCAGAGAGCACCTGTCTCTGCCTCCCGAGTGCTGGGCTTAAAGGTATGTGGCATCACCACCAGACCCAGCAGATGTCTTTGATTCCAGAAGACAGAGGCAGAGGGATTTCTGAGTTCAACACAGCCTGGTCCATACAACAAGTTCCAGCACAGCCAGGGCTACATAGAGAGACCTTGTCTCAAAAAATGAAAAATATAAAAAATAAATAAATCCAACCACATGACCCAGCAGTTTGGGGGTATTTATCAAAGAGAAACAAAAAGCATATAACCATGAGAAAAATATAAATATTCTACAATTATACTTGCAATAATAGCATACCTGGATATATTTCAAATGGCCAAATGTGAACAAATCTATAAACAGTACCATATCTATATGATGGGAGACTAACAATAATAAAATGTAATGAACTGTTGGTACATGCTATAGCATGACTGAGCCTCTGCTAAGTGAAAGCCAGTCTCTCCTTGCATATAAAGTATCTGACTTAGAGAATAGACTTGCATAAAAATTCTGGAGAATGGTAACTAGCACATACTGGCAGAAAGTGGTTGCTTGGGAGTGAAGGGGCAAGAAAAGCAGAAGGTTTCAAAGTATCAAAATGAAACTGGAATGATGACTGTTTTCAGTTTTGCTCATGATACTTTCATCATATGTGCCATATTATACATTCTAGATGATTATAATTTATGTGCCAAGTATACCCTAATAAAGCAATTAAATCTTGTCATTGCTACAAAAACATTCAATACTTATAAAAGTGGTTTTTTGTTCATGTTTGTTTTTTGAGATAGCTCCTCACCAGGTAGCTCTGGATGGCCTTGAACTCACAGCAATCTATCTGCCTCTACCTCCAGAGCTCTAGAATTAAAGGTGTGCATCACCATGACTGGACCCTAAAGTAGAATTTTTTTTAAGTGTGTCTAATACATAGTTTTCTTGTGTAAGTTTTGGTTATATTACCACAGAATCACAGAAGTGAGAATTGTTTTTCCCACAAACAACACTTATTGTTAGAGTTGCCCTTTCTAAGTGTCTCACTTGGTAAAATGGTAGGCAGAATTGCTGCAGCCCAGGAGACCAGCTCGCAGGACTGCAACCAGGGCAGCAGTGTGCCTTCAGAGTAGCAGGACTTGGAAAAAAGTCTTATCTATTGGAGGGTGTTTAGGAAAGGACTCACAAGTTATGATGGTAACTTAAGAAAAAAGGAACAAGCACATGCTTTCCTGAGGGTAACCTTCTCTTTTACTTCATCTTGAATAATCTCTCTTCTCCTGACAAACTCTCTACACAGTTACATCTCTTTACATATAGCTACACCTCTATTTTCCACACATTTCTATTCTATACACATTTCTTCTCTCTACTCTGCTACATTTCTTCACATACAGCTACATCTCTTCTACATCATTCACTCACCCACTCATACAATCACACACTCCTTCTCAGAACAAACTCTGGACAAATTACATTTTCAGGGCCACATAGCATTTCTTGAATAAACAAGAATCAGAGCCATACTGATACACAGGGAATCACAGTTTCTCTCGGGCTTAGAATGTCACACTGACTGGCTGGAGATGAGTAACCATGGCAACATTTGGCTGTGTAGGCATGGTCTATCTGCACGTAGCCTGAGAGACATCATGGAGAGTGACATTGAAATTCAGGACCTGAGCAATAAACAGTTACTTGGCTGAACCTTGAGCCTTATATCCTAAGAGTGAGATTAGCACCCCTGATTGCACTTGATGGGAAATGCTTTAAGCCCTTGTAAACTGTGACTGCAGGCCATTTCCTAGGAAGTTGGTTATGGACCTGGCCAGAGACCATCCACCTGGCCAATATTTATTTAAAGCTCCCTTCATATTTGATTTTAAGCTGTGGTAGTGGTCTGGAACAGGGCTGCTGCCAAGGACCTTGACTGGGTCCATGGTCTTACAATGGCCAGGGTCTGTGTTGATGTTCCTGGTCCATGTTGCTACCAAAGGCCACACAGATGCCCAGGGTCTGCACCACAAGCTATGACCATGCTGGTGTCCAAGGGTTGTGCCACCACAGGGGGCACAAGCTGATTTTGGCAGCTAGCACTGTCACCTAGGGCCATGGTGTCATTGGGCAAGAGCTGCTGCCAGAGGCCATGTCTTGGTCCTTGGCTCTACAGCAGCCACAGTCTGAGTTGATATCCATGGCTCCTGTTAACCCCTGGGGGCTCAGCTGATGCCCAGGGTCTGGTCAGCCACCTAATAGTTTTTGTTTTACTCTTTACTCTTTTAAGGGGCCTGTCACCCAGCTCCCAAATACTCATGCAAAGACTTATTTATAAATGCCCAGCCTTTGCTTGGCTTGTTTCTTGCCAGGTTTTCTTAAGTTAAATTATTCCATCTACCTTTTGCCTCTGGACTTTTACCTCTCTCTTTTTCTGTACATCTTTTCTTTCCCTCTTATTCCATGTCTGGCTGTGTGGCTGGCCTCTGGCATCCTCTTTTACTTTTCTCACTTTTTTCTCCTATTTATTTATTCTCTTTGCCTGGCAATCCTGTCTATCCCTCTTGTGTCTAGTTCTTGGCCATCCAGCTCTTTATTAGACTAATCAGGTGTTTTGGGCAAGCAGAGTAACACAGCTTCACAGTACTTCACAGGTGCAAGGTTTGAAAGTTTATAGTCTTGCCTTACTTCCTGCACGGTCTTCCTGTTTTCTATGTACAGATTTAAAACTGTGATCAGCCAGCTCCCTGCCCCTACTTGCATGTTATACCACCTGCCCCCCCCATGATGGACGCGCACTCTCTCTCTTTCCGGAACTGTAAGCCAAAATAAATTACTCCATTAAAAATGAAATAAACTTGTTCTTCCTTAAGATATGGTATTTTATCACAGTAGCAGAAAAGTAACAAATCCTGTCCAGAGTTAAACGAATGCAACACATCTTTGTATCATTAAACAAATATTCCACAGCATAAACGAATGTAACACATCTTCAACTAGTATTCCAGAACACCACCTGAGACCATGTTGGTGTCTCAGGGCCATGCTGCTACCAGGGCCATACTGATCTGGGTGGCCTGTGCTGACACTGGGCCATGGTGACATCTGGGCCCAAGCTGCTACCAAGGTCCATGGTCCTGCTGCAGCTGGGGTCTGTAATGTCCGTGGCCCATGCCCTGTCCTTCAGTGGCCCTGGGATAGCTTGCCCTGCTCCTTGATAGATATTGCAGCAGGAAAACTGGACCCTGCCATCAGGGAAGACCTGCCTCCCACCCTCTTGGGAAAGATGCCTCACCTCAGGCATGCATTTCACCTGGAGCTGACCCTGTGGCAGGGGACGAAGATGAACCAACACTGAAGACATGAGAGCAGGAGAGCTGACTCCCACCCACCCTTGTGAGCCATGTTTTTTTTAAGTTTTTTTTTTTTTTTTTTACAATAGTAATATTGTTTTTTGATTTTATTAGAATCACAGTTAAGAGGTTATCTTGAGTCTCAGAAGAGTCTTTGGACTTTTGAACAGTGTTCAAAGTTTAAAGACTATGGGGACTTTTGAAGTTGAGCTACACACATTTTGCACCATGAGATGGCTATGAGCTTATGGGGTTCAGAGGCCAATGTGGTAGTTTGAATGAGAAATGTCCCCTGTAGGTTCACGTAGCTGAACATTTGCTCCCCAGATGGTGGCAGTGTTCGGGGAAGGTATAAAACTTTTAGGAAGATCCTGGCTGGAGAGGAAGTACTTCACAGGTGCAAGGTTTGAAAGTTTATAGTCTTGCCTTACTTCCTGCACGGTCTTCCTGTTTTCTATGTACAGATTTAAAACTGTGATCAGCCAGCTCCCTGCCCCTACTTGCATGTTATACCACCTGCCCCCCCCATGATGGACGCGCACTCTCTCTCTTTCCGGAACTGTAAGCCAAAATAAATTACTCCATTAAAAATGAAATAAACTTGTTCTTCCTTAAGATATGGTATTTTATCACAGTAGCAGAAAAGTAACAAATCCTGTCTCCAAACCTATACTGGCTCCCTCTATCAAGGCATCTCCTTTCTTGCCCTCCTTTACTCCTCCCCTGTCTCAGTACTCTTGTTCTCTCCTATTCTCCTCCCCCCTTCCTCTTCTCTCCCCTTCCCACCTCCCTCCAGCACAGGGGAAAAGTTAGGGATGACCCCAACTAAGAATCTAGGCAGTGGTGGAGAAGCTGCCTTTGATGCCCTTCCCCTGTAATGAAATTGATGACTACCTTGGTTGCCATTCCTAGTGCTTTCATCCAGTAGCTGATCGAGAAAGAGGCACCCACAGCTAAACACTGAGCCATACTCCTGGAATCCAGTTACAGAGAGGGAGGATGGATGAGCAAAGGAGCCAAGACTGTGCTGGAAGAAACCCACAGAAACAGTTGACCTGACCTAGTGAGAGCACGGAGACCCTAGTCAAAAAGCTGGGGAACCAGCATTGGACTGAACTAAAACCTCTGAATATGGATGCCAGTTAGGAGGCCAGGGCAGTCTATGGGACCTCTAACAGTGGAGTCGGTGTTTATCCCTAGAGCACAAATGGACTTTGGGAGCCCATTCCCTATGGAGGGATACTGTTGCAGCCTAGATACAAGAAAAAGGACCTAGCCCTTCCCCCCCCCCAATGATGTGGACTTTTATGGTTCCCCCATGGAGGGCCTCACTATCCTTGGGGAGTGGGTAGGGGGTGGGTTAGAGGGGTCGGTTGGGAGCATAGAAGGGCGAGGGAAAGGGGGATATTTACATGTAAATTAGAGTGCTTCTAAAATAAAAATTTTTAAAAAACTAAGATATCCACCCCCTAAACAGATGTACAAATGAACTAATAAATGTCAGGTACAAAGGAAAATTCCTGTTCCCCAAATTCTGGCAGTCTGACAAATGCCAGCATTCCTCAGGAACTTGTGAAGCTGAAGAGTCACTTCCCTCACCTCTGGCAGTAGGGATCACTGGCATCTATTAGCATACCAAAGCACAGGTAGGCCTCCAGGCTCCCACAGTACCACAAGTGCCCAGCTCCTCCCCTACCATAAACTTCTGCCAGCTCAGGAGCTCCCCTCACCCCCATCTACTTTCTCCTCATAACCCTATTTTGGCTAAGCACTCCCTTTGCCTCTCTTTCTCTTCAACTCTCACTCTCCACCCCCACCTTACTCTCTATGACCATGTCTAGTCATCTAGCCATGTTCAGTCTATTTTCTCTCTCGGCTCTGGACACTTCCAGATGTCTATGGCTGTTCTTTCTCACATATGTACAATAGAAACCTTCTGCTTAACCAAACCTTGGAGCAGTCATGTTGTCAGTTTATATAGTAAGCATATGATGCTGAGAGCACTTGCTGCTCTTGCAGAGAACTGGGGTCTGACTCAGCATCAAGACAGTTACTTAAAGTTTAAGTTTCAGGAGATCCAATGCCACCCTCTAATCTCCTTGGGTACTGCATTCTTATGGTACAGATAAGTATATTCAGACACACACAATTTTCTTTTTGAGACAAGTTCTCTTTATGTAACTGTGGCTGTCCTGGGACTCACTGTAGAGACCAGGCTGGCCTTTAACTCAGAGATCTGCCTCTCTATGCCTTCTGAAAGCTGGAATTAAAGGCAGACACCACCATGCCCAGCTTGTACATGAATAAACGAGAAAAATGTGACACATTGGGATGATTTAGAACCTGAAAGTACATAAGAATTCCAAGCAATGGGAAAAGTCAACACATACTCAGCTAGAAATGTTACTTTATTTTAAAACATATACAGAATAATAAATATTATTGGAAAACTTAATAGCCTTTTTCTCTACATAAGGCAAGTATAACATGCTATGACTATTTCTATGCAGCAAAATATAAACAAATCTTAGACACTGATTATTATGTATGTGTACTAACTACAAACATTTTCCCTATTACATTTATGTGGGAAAAAACTTTTATGCAACCAACATTTGGCATTCTTTTTAATCTATGTTTTTTCTTATTCATTTCACGAGGAAATAATAATTATCCTTTTAAAAAGAAAAAGAAAAAATACAACTAAAAATCCACATCTTTAAATTTTTGTAAATGCAAAAGCACTGGTAGAGTGAAATGCAAGGTATTGTAACAAAGAAATATTCTGAAATTTTCAAGGTAACTCTTTGGCACTAGTGTTTTGAGACATTCACCTGGCATCAGATAATTCAGTATCAGGGCTAAGGTGCTAAAAAGCAGGAAGTTCAGTGTTTCTCATGACAAATTCAAATTGATGGGTCACATATGCAGCACAAAAACCAAAGTAGAACATAAAAGGAAATATCACACCATCATAATTTGATCTTTCAAATTTTTTTTGAAGTTCATTTTTTATTTCCTCATTGTACAACAAAATGTATAAACCCTTAAACAAAATTAAGTCTTAAGGAATCATGCACACTTTATACCCAGTGTTCCCTTTATTTGTTTGGTGTTCAAGGCTACATGCTCTACAGTAGTCTTGATCAGGCTCCAAAGTCTGCAAGCTGAGTTTCATCACACCTCTTCCAGAGCAGTTCTCAGCATGGTGCTCCTACCTACATTTTTCCAGAGTGCTGCTGAACATACTCTCAGTTTAAACTCAATCAACTTGAAGAACCTTCCCACAGCTAAACATACTCTCAGTTTAGACTCAATCAACTTGAAGAACCTTCCCACAGCTAAACATACTCTCAGTTTAGACTCAATCAACTTGAAGAACCTTCCCACAGCTAAACATACTCTCAGTTTAGACTCAATCAACTTGAAGAACCTTCCCACAACTTTCGAGGTAGAAAAACTGAGGCACAGAAAGGTTAAAAAACTCACATATATTTTCACAAATCAGGAGAAAATTGGGAAAAGAAAAATAAGTCCTCTGGAGCTGGAGAGATGGCTTGGTGCCTAAGACCATCTGCTACTTCTGCAGAGGGCTCAGGTTGGCTTACTAGGGCCCACGTGGTGGTGTACAACCGGCAGTAACTCCAGTTCCTAGGGCTCCCATACCCTCTTCTGGCCTTGGCAGGTACTGGATGCAAGTGATGCACATACATACATGCAGGAAAAGCCCATACAACCATGAAATAAAAATAAGTCTTTAAAAATAAATAAATAAATAAATAAACAAACAAATAAATCTTCCCTGAATCCCTGGGTCTATAACTAAACTTTTAAGTTACTTTGGGTACATTTGAAATAGATGTTTATTTACATGGTCATTTTTTTCTATGGAATATCAATTTTTAATAGATGTCTTTTGATGCAATAGCTATTACTTTAAAAAATATTCTTTTGTTTCATTTAATAACATATGAAAAATGTGTATGACAAAAAATGAGTAGTGATGTTGGGCCAAATGCTCATTACTATTCCTATAATTCTTAATCTCCTTGAATGTATAATACAGTATACAAATCTTGCCAAATGTGAAAAATCACTTAAGAGCTAAATGACAGACCCTTAAAATTCACCAGGAAACAACCATCATATAGAAGTGAGAAATACAAAAAGTTTAGGACTTCTATGTGGTAAACTGGCTTGTAATGTGATTGGTGTGCCAAGTGGCCTTTTGCCAACTCAACAAAATCTAGGAATGAATGTAAGTAAAACAAAGGAAAAAAATGTGGCTATGGCCTTAGAAAGTCTGTGCAAAGGAGCTAATAATACAGTTTTGGTCCCTGAGAAGGCTTAACACCAGGATTCTATCCAGTCCTGCTTAACAGATGACCAAGCTCCTTGGTGTCAGACACTCTGAGAATACTTCCTTAGACCTCATTCATATAGTCACAAGTTTTTCTAAATGTCACAGGAATATTAAGACCAAGTAGGCATCAGAGAGGAACTCTGCTCTGCTAGATCAGTGTGGAATGAAAGTATCACAGCACACAAAAATTGTACTACTCAGGAGGCCCAGTGTAATGACAGATGTCTTTAATTCCAGCACTGGGGAAGTTGAGGAAATATGACTGTGGAGTCCAAGGCCAGCCCGGGATACACACTATGACCCCTTTTAAGGGGGTAAAGAGAAAACGAATTATGCAGCAGGGCAGTAGTCTATGCTCATCAATACTCGTTTCCACAGACCATCTGGTTTTCCACGTCTAAAAAGCACTGCATCTGAGTACTTTACAGAAGCCTAAAGACCATCTTCTAAAAGTTCAGCACAGTTACCAGCAACTGAGCTGTGTGGGACAAAGGAGGAGGCTCTGTGCCTGCACATTTGAATATGAGTCTATCAGAAGTAGACATGAGCAGGCTAGGGATGTAGCTCCAAGGTAAAACTCTTGTCTAGCACACATGCTGCCCATGTTTCAAAGAAAAAGAAAACAGATATGAAACTTAAGGAAGGAAAAAGATCAATATATTATTTCTGTGATGAACTGGAAATGACATTAAGCAGAACAAAATGACTTGAACAATAGAAATGAAATAGAATCTTACTGTTGTACAAACAGTAGCAAAATATATTTTACTGATATTCTAATAGAAACAACCACAGTGATCGTCTTGGTGATCAGCTACAGCACTGGAAAAACAGTTCCACTCCAAAGGTATCAGTGTGGGCAGTTACACTTTCCTCCTCCAGAACCTTCACAGATATACCCTTTTGACAGAGCAGAAAAATGCTCCAGATGGTATCCTGTATCTGGGTTCCAGTAGGAATGGCTAATTGATGCTACACTTGATCAGTACTTAAAACAGAAAATCTTTCAACTGTAAAAATGTATGAGCAAAGGCATTGGCTAAGTAGAAGAGGAGAGAAATGGGCTCAATGGCTTCCAAGAGTAGTTTTCTAAATAACTGTTAACAACACTTGTTATTTTGATGATTTTAAAGATTTGGAAAAAAAGAATATAGTAGGCATGGTTTCTTACGTTTTATCAGAAATAACCCACCCCAAATATATCATAATGAAAGGGTTTCCTATTGGAGAGACCAATAAGAGATTCCTTTGCACGCTAGACTTCCTCACAAAGCTCTTACTGGGGAATTTTTATTTTCATTTGCATTTCCAAGTGAATTGTAAAAAACAGAATTTGTAAAATAGTAGTAAGTGCTACTTACTTATATGTGCACTATGTTAAATTTGAAAACTGGACCCTACTTCGGTTACTGGGACATTATTATCAGACTTGAAAAGCAATGAGTTCCTCTAGAACAAAAGCATGAATCCTACTGAAGCAATCTGCTGACCAGATGGAAACCTGAGTGGTCTCACTGTTCCAGAGCTTAGGAGAACTATTAATACTATGAAATTTTGCTTCACACACACAATGTTAATGCCTTTGGATATTCATGATGTAACTATGAGTTAAAACTTCAGGTACATCGACAGATGCATTTAAACTAAGTTCCACAATAAGTAGCAAAATGAATATGGTAATTTCCACATTATAAATATCTTCCTTGTACTAGTATAGCTATGTTCTTACCTCAGAAATGCTAATATCAAAATTATATTGATCCTGCTACATCACACTTTCCAATTATGTTCAATAATTGGAATAAATTAAGGTTTATACTCCTAATGATACTGATGATTAACAATATTTCAAGAGCTGATACAAAAAAAGAATGAACTTGAACACTTGCTAAGTACTGCTTTCTGCAAGGTTTTCAGCTGTTTAAATCATTTTGTTGCTGTTCTTCACAAATCACTGTCTTGATACACCAAGGTCATCATTCATACAATTCATTGAATCTGACAAATGAGCCAGACAACCAGATTTCTTTATATTAAACTAGTATTTTATTTGCCCTTTTATCCTACCATTCAGTGAACTACTCTCTGGGTATTTGCTTCAGAGAGATGGCCTTTTTTATTTGGAAAAGCACGTTTGTGTTAGTGAGAAGTTTAACTGGGTATTATTAAAATCCATGTTCTACCTCAGCTAACTTATTTTATCCAACCCAATTTTTAAACTTGGCATATTGCATTTAGATAAAACAAAGCATGTGGAATATACAACATCCTAATATGGTGTATTATATAATGATACGTTGTATCACTTTGTGCCTTGCTCCAATTTAATGCACAGGGAAGGCTATTATGGATAGAAGAATCATTTCTGATCTAAAACACTGTGTTATTGACAGCTATTTTCCATTTAAGAAGGTTGATCTGTTTTGCTGTTTGTTTCTGATGCAGGGTATCAAACCTGGGGTTTTGTATACAGTCAGAAGGTTTAGTAAGATGTCTGGTAAAAACTTCAGAAGGTTCTACCATTTCAAACAACAAGAAGGCTAAACTGTTGTCATCTTTGCTAGAATCTCCCTTAGAAAGTATGCATTGCCCTTTGTAGAAACAGTCCTAAGCCGTGTCATTGACCTGTTTACTAAATTCCTATGGTATGTACTTAATAGACACTCTCTAATTTAATAACCTTACTGTCAAGTTTATTAGTTATTTCTTCTGAACGGAAAAAAATACCTCCTGAAACAGAAAGCAGGTATTTTTCATAATGGATCCAAGTAGCATAGGTTAAATGCAAATAAATTATCTCTTCAAACTTAATCAGTTGTCCTTAATTGGACAATGATACAGAAATGGGTCACTCTTCAATTTTTTCTCTATCTTTCATTTTCACTATCTTCCATTGAACGTAGTATCTTTTTCTAGCTACTTTACATATCTATAGTTAGGACATTTAACATATACACAGCAATAGTTAAATTAAGTGAATACTTCAAATGATAAAGGCACTAAAATTGATCTGAGCTATTGGGAAGTCACCCTGTCGATGGAACTCTGCACCACCATTATTAACTCCTCTCTCTGCTTACTTCGGTTTTGGGGTACATGTAGTAGAGTCAAGTTGTTAAAAGACTAAAACCAACTCAATTCATATACCTCCTATTTGAGTCAACTACCTGAATGCTACACATGCTTAACACAAACACAATGCCAGTCACGTTTACTGTACAGAGCCAGATTTCACAAGAGTTTCTTCCTTTCCCAAGGTACTCAGGTAAGAATATCTGCTCCCCTATAAAGACTAACTAGAAAGACCTCACCCTTATTATCTGGTTCAATCATGTTAAAATGTTTTAAACAAGTAATTATGAAAGCTTCTAGGTTAATGGAAATGAAAACAGGATTTGTCTCATCAGAGAGAGTTTACACCCAGACAACCATTGGGAGCTTTGTGCTGCAGAGGTCTGGACCCCACCCTGGTGTTTGCACCAGGCTCCCTATTGTCCACTAGATCATTAGTTAGAACACAGGCAACTCTCACTGAGAGTCTTTTCTGCTTGGCATCTAGTCAAAACCACAGACCCCCTCCAAGGCCTGCTCTTTAAGCCCCCAACCCTCCGTTGCATCTTAGTCTGTTTTCATATTGGATTTATTCATCTCCCCAAGGTTAAAATTGAATTCTTTGAACACTTGTATAAGGACAATTCCCACGGAGACAGTTGTAAATCCACAGGCCATGCCCAAGAAGTCCACCAGGCCCACATTGCTCCACTCCCGGAAGAGGATGGCTGAAGCCAGTAGGACCAGTGTGGTAAACACGACATAGTAGATGGCCCCAAACACAGAGGAGTCGAAGCACTCCAGGGCCTTGTTGATGTACCTGAATTGGACAATGATGCTGCAGCCCAGGACAGCCAGGAGCACAAGGCACAGGCAGAGGGCTCTCTGACTAGAAGGATTGTTGTGTAAGATGTCTTGGGCTGCCAGCCCAATGCCCTTGGTGGAAGGCACAGTGAAACTCCCCAGCAAGGAGCAGATGCTGATGTAGACCATGATGTTGGTGGGTCCGTGGGCTGGTGCAATCCAGAAGATCAACAGCAGCAGCATGAGCAGCACAATGCACAGGTATCCCACAAACACTGCAAGACAGATGGCACACAGTGACCAGGGAAGCTGCCTCATCAGACACCATCCAGAGGGCAGAGCCCAGCCACTTCCTGATCCCTTACCAGCCACTCCTTCTATCAAGGAGAGAGATCTAAGGGAGGACAGGTAAGCACCCAACAGCTCTAGCTTGTTTACTATATCCACTAAGTCCATTCCACAAAAACTATCCCCATTATTACTATTCCCATCATGCACATAGTCATAGGAATCAGGAAGTAGCTCAGTGGTAAAACACTTGCCCAACACACTCAAGGCCCTGGGTTTGATCCTCAGCACAGTAAAACAAGTATGTGTAGCTCCAAACTACTGCAGCCACAAGGATAACACTAAACCAGAACTGTTGCCTTCTTCAGGAATGTCTGTGGCAAGGAGTCTTTGCCCTGTGTCCTTTACCATTAAAGACCTCATTATATTTCTGCCTCTGCATAACCCTACCCAACCAGGCCACAACTACCCACTGCCCCTCCAAATGGATGGAGACATATTCTAATGAAAAACTACTCCTAGGACTACCAGGGCCACACCTGGAGTAGCTGAAGAAATTATGATCACTTCCATTGACAGGAATCCCCTCATAGCTACCCCCAAAAATGTGAAATCCTGCTCCAAAGTGTCTTAACTACTAATGTTTGTTGTTTTTTTGTTTGGTTGGTTGGTTTTGGGGGTTTTGGGTTTTTTATGGGTTTGTTTTTTGTTTTTTGTTTTTCTTTTTTTCTTTTTTGGTTTTTCGAGACAGGGTTTCTCTGTGGCTTTGGAGGCTGACCTGGAACTAGCTCTTGTAGACCAGGCTGGTCTAGAACTCACAGAGATCCTCCTGCCTCTGCCTCCCAAGTGCTGGGATTAAAGGCATGTGCCACCACAGCCAAGCTTTAACTACTACTGTTTAAATAACCTACTCTATAAGTATCATTAGCAACAACAACAAAAACAGGCTTAAAATCCTGAGGTTAAAAATGTAAAGCTAGGGGTTGGTGAGGTGGCTCAGAGGTTTAGAACACTGGTGCTTTTCCTAAGTTCAATTCCCAGCACCCTCATGTTGGCTCACAACTATATATAATGAGATCTGGTACCCTCTTCTGGCCTGCAGGCATACATGCAGACAGAACACTGTATACATAATAACTAAATAAATCTTTTTTTTTAAAGTGATGCTAGTCACATGATGGGTTTTATGTTTTCTTATAGACTGGGCCTTGTGTTGTCATTCTGAGTGGTCTAAATTCAAAGGATCCTCCCAACACAGCATTTGTATAGCTGAGACTGTAGGTACATGCCACCTCTGTACCCAGCTGCAGGATAAGTTCTTCCTTTAGAGTCAATTACAGAATACCTACCAGACAGATGATACTGAGGGTGTGACAGGCCATAAGCTAAAATGAGGATAATCTGGAACTGTGGCAGTGTCTAAGCCCATACAACCTTTAGAGCAGTGTCTCTCAATCTGTGGTTCTCAACCCCTTTGAAAGGGTAGAACCCTTTCACAAGGGCCACCTAAAACCATCGGAAAACACAGATATTTACATTACAATTCATAACAGTAGCAAAATTATAGTTATGAAGTAACAACGAAAATAATTTATGGCTGAGGAACTGTATAAAGGGTCACACAGCATTAGGAAGGTTGAGAAGCACTGCTTTAGGGGATGCACACAATGGATGTGGGCGGGGTATAAAGAGCACACATAACCATAAGTTATCCTATATTCTCCACAACTTCTGAATGTCTCCTTGGACTTATAAGTAAAAAAATCTGCTTATGATCATCAGAGCTAGGAATTATATAACAAAGTAGTCCTTGTATATGGTTCAGACCCATTAACATTTTCACAAATACAACATCCATGTAGGGTGAAGGATGACTATTTTTTCTCTGTTTGGGACTTCAAGAATTATCCTCCATTTCAGAGGGTCATGTTGCTGATAGCAGTGCTCACGCTGATGGTATATGCTCAGAGTAAGTCAAGGACATGACATCTCCTAACAGTTTATATCTACATCTACCAATTTTTTTGCAACGCTCACATTTTGGGTGGTCTGCCAACTTCAATATGCCTTTTCCTATAGCTGTACTTGAACATTAACATTAGAAGGTAGAATCTTACTATGGCTCCTTTATACAGTTTGGTATTATATTGATTGCTCTGAAATTCCATGTACAAGGTTGTATTTCACAACCTGGACTTCACAGATCTAGAAACCAGCTGGAAATGCAAATCAGTTAGTGCAGGCACACACAGCAACAAGTGTGGACATGCAAACAAGCAAGCAGGCGGTGGGAGCTCAGCCCCTCAGGAGTGAGAAAAGAGATTGAGCCCTGTACTGGAGGCAGACTCAGGAAAGGTCAATGGAAGGATGGTTAAAAGCTGAGATGGCATCACCTACAAACTGGCAAAATGGAATGGCAGGCAGAGAGACTGGTACTTGTGAGCACAAAATACTGCCTAATTGTGGGGTAGGTTTGGGTACTAGGGGTAGGAAATCAGAAGCAGCCCAAATGTAAGTAAGCAGGCATGGAGTCGGCAACAGAGTGTGACTGTGGATCTGCCTGGGCTTGCTCTCTGGGAAAGATGGATAAAAGGAGCCTTGAGGCTGGAAGGAACAAAATCAGATGACATTTCACAAGGATCTCTGGAATCAAGAAGGTTGAGGTAGCAGGAACTGGATGTAAGGGTATTGGAGATTAGCAAAATCGAGTTTCACCAAAGGCAGCTACGAGAAGGACAGTAGAGGCAGCCAGCATGGTAAAAGGGGTAGAGAATGGACAAGAACACCAGCCACAGTGGGTACTCAGACAGCAGCCTCAGTAGCTATGTGTTAGAATGGAGGATTCCCATGCAGGAAAAGCTCTTTGTTTTCCTGTGCTCAACCTGAGTTTCTCATTTCTCAGATGCCCACAGATCTGTGAGCTTTTGATCTGTGTGCCAAGCATTTTTTCATCATTGTCCTCTTTGAAGGAACCAGCTTACATGTTTTCTCTTTAGTAACTCAACCTCATGAAACCTATGCCATAGATACACTATTCATATTTTGTCCCTATATCTGTCCTTTGTACATTTAAAAAGTGCATAAGCAGGGCTGGAGAGATGGCTCAAAGGTTAAGAGCACTGACTGCTCCTCCATAGGTCCTGAGTTCAATTCCCAGCAACCACATGGTGGTTCACAACCATACGTTATGAAATCTGGTGCAGAATGTTGTATACATAATAAATATTTTTTAAAAAAGTGCCAAGCTTTTGCTTTCTGGAATGATGCTGCCAGCACTGAGACTGTGCATATCATAGCACTCTCTAAGTATCGCCTTTCTCTCTGTGGTGCTGTGCGTCTCATTCAGGGTCTTGCCATTCCATCATTGAAACACACACCCCAGGCCAGTATTCTCTAAGTATCCTTACAGAACATTTTCTTTGACTTTTCATCTTTGAATATTAGGCATCATATATTTCAAATTTCATTTACTTTTGCCTGCATGTATATCTGCATGAGGGTGTTGGATCCCCTGGAACAGGAGTTACAGACAGTTGTGAGCCACCATGTGAGTGCTGGGAATTGAACCCAGGTCCTCTGAAAGAGTAGTGCTTCCAACCTCTGAGCCATTTCTCCAGCCAGAGGCATCATATATTGGCGAGTTTGGGAATATAAGTTCCGGTTTAAACTTTCTCTGGGGCAAAAATTGTGTTGTTTGTACCTTTAAAAAGAGAGAGAGAAAGAGGGAAAGGGGGAGTAGGGAGCTGTGCCATGAACATACTAGCAGCACTGTGTGGATTCTGTAGGTTAAAAAAAAGATACACACAGTTGAGAGGCTGAAGTGGAGGCATGGGAAGAGCTGGAGGGAAGGGAACAAGGGTAGATTTTATCAAAGTACATTGTTATGATTTGTTTTAGATTCTTTTATGTGTATGAGTATTTTCATTACATGTGCATCTGTGTACTACTTACATGCCAGGTACCTGAGTTGTTCAGAAGTGGGCATCAGGTCCCTGGAACTGGAGTTACAGGTGGTTGTGAACTACCATTAGGTGCTGGAAATCATACCTCACTCTGCTGGAAGAGCAACAAGTGCTCTTAAACTCTGAGCCATCTCTCCAGTGTAGAGGACCCTGAATGACGATAGCATAATAATGCCATCTTATGCATTTTAGGAACTATTACTATTTTAGGAACTAACACTCAGTTAAGTTTCTGTTTCTTTACATCTATTTTCTTGTAAAGCATATGTTCATGTCTACCGTCAAGAGAGTCCCAGCCACAGACTTATCTCCTTGCAACACATCATGCCTGGCAGGACAGTAGCCTCCCCTGCCCCCTGACCCTTTTACCCTACTTAAGCCATATTGATCTGTCTAATAAACTGAGACTTGAAGCTGGGCTTTGGTGGCACATGCCTTTAATCCCAGCACTCAGGAGGCAGAGGCAGGCAGATCTCTGTGAGTTCGAGACCAGCCTGGTCTACAAGAGCTAGTTCCAGGACAGCTCCAAAGCCACAGAGAAACCCTGTCTCGAAAAAACAAAAAACAAAACAAAACAAACAACACTGAGACTTGATCAGAGTACTGTCTTGTCTCCATCTCTCTTGTCTCTTGCCCCCTCTATTCTCACTCCCTCCCCCAGGGTACTCATTGATTGACCCTGAGGGCCGGGGCACTCCAGCCCATCAAACTACACTATGTATACATGTATGAAATTCTCAATAAATAAATATATTTAAAAACATATTAATATCAACAACAAAAAACAAAACAAAACTGGACATGGTGTCCTATGCCTGTAATCTGAACAGGTAAGGATGGAGGATTGCTACAAATGTGGGACTACCTTGGTTAAACAGCAAGCACCAGGCCAGCCAAGGCTCCATATTGTGATCCTGACTAAGAAAAAGAAGAGGAACAGGAGGAGGTGGACAAAGAGGAGAAAGAAACATAACGAAGAAAAAAGAGGGGAAAAAAGAAAACCTATAACCTAAGAAAGCAGACAGTTCATACCATTTTATATTTTACATTTTCTTAACATTTTCATGATATCTAATTATACATAGGGCTGGAGAGATGGATCAGCAATTAAAAGTCATATTGCTTTTGCAGAGGACTCAAGTTTGTCTCAGTACCCAAATGAGCTTACAACAGAGTGTAGCTGCAGTCCTATGAAGGTCTGACACCTCTGGCCTCCAAGGGCAACTGTACTCATGAGTACATAGCCATGCACAAAAATAAAAATAATGCATAATTATATATATATAGATGTATATGTAAATTACAAATGCATAAATATATTGGAATCTGAACATAACCGAATCACTCATACTCATCTAAAATAACTGGGACTGACAATATAGCTTAGAGGTTCAATGCTTATTTAGCCTGCACAAGCCAAGGTTCAACTCCCAACATGGTGGCAGAGGAATAACCTATGAATATTCTCCTCTGGATACCATATGAACCCTTCAGAGCACTCTTGCCCAGTCCATAGAGTGGTCTATTTTTTAATATATTTATACTCTTTAAACTCATACTCAGAAGATACTTTGGATTTTATTAGAATTAGTAAAAATTAAAATGTGAAATGTTTGCAGATGTGGTGGTTTGAATAAGAATGAGCCCTAGAGGCTTGTATATTTTAACACTTGCTCTCCAGTTGTTGGAACTATTTGGGAAGGATTGGAGGAGGTGTGTTACTAAAGGCAGGCTTTGAGTTTTCAAAAGACTCATACCATTCATTCCCAGTTCGCTCTCTCTGTCCCTTGCTTGTGAATCAAGATGTGAGCTCTCAGCTGTTCTGGCCAACATTCCATTGTTCCCCCATCATGGACTCTTAACCCTCTGAAACCATAAGTGCAATTAAATGCTTTGTTTTATAAGCTGTGTTGGTAATGGTGTTTTGTTGCAGCAATATAAAAGTAACAAAGACAACAGGCATAAAATATCAAAGGGAAATAGAGCCTTAGCTAACATCATTATGAACTCCCCAGGGTATCCAACCAAATTTAGAGTACCTCTGAAAACTAGGTTAGGCTTGTACTCACAGCCAGCTGACGTACACACACAGACTGAACAGCCAATCCAGATCTGTGGTGACAAATCAGAGTTGACCTTGCCCTGCTGGAAAGTGTCAGGACAGAGTGGTATCATGAGATGTCTGGATTCCTCAGGAAACAGACATGGCAACCCTGATAGAAAGGAGTTACCTGGATTGGTCAGCTTCTCCTCCAGCTCAGCCTGAGTTGTCACACTTTCAGACTTTGGGGAATGGATAATCAGCACGACAGAACCTGCACAGCTTAGCAGACACCCCAACTTGCCCAAGATGTTGAGCTTTTCCTTCAGAAGATAAGAAGCTAAAATGGACCTTCAATTAAATAAAAGAAATCATTACAGTTTAAATCAAACTATATGACTTGCTTCTGCTAATACTTTATCTAAACAACTCATACTTTATTCCTAGGTGTAATTTATTTTCATTGCAGTTATTTTTTTTAAGTTTTTATTTGTATTTTGGCACTGAGAATCAAATCCAGGACCTTGCACATACTTTAACACTGAGCAACATGTACATCCAGCCCATCATTTAGTTTTTACAAGAAGAAAAACTAATTTTCCCATTAGGAATTTATTGAAGTTTTGATTCAACATAAGTGGATTTTTGTATCATTTGCATGCATAGCCAATATGTAGTTGATAATATCTTAACTCATATTACTGTATAATATCTTAATTGTCTCATAGATATGAGATACACCAGTAGAAATGTTATGATTGACCAAAATATAAAATATTCCCTCCTTATTTATAAAAGCAAACAACATACATACACATAAACCAAGAAAAATACAAAAATGCTGTCCGTAACTAAAGTATGAAAGAAGAAATATGGATGGTTATTTTTCACTAGTACTCAAAACTTTATAAATATAGTTCTGTTTTTTAAGATAAAAATCATGTATAAATTAATAAAACATCAATGTGTTTCATCTCTTGTTTCCCTTTATAATGTCAGTATACAACCTGAACTGGAAAAACTGGCCTTTCATTAGGTAATTCCTAAATTGCTGTTATCTATGCTGATTGCTGTTTTCTATGCTGAAGATATTCAGAAGATATGAACACCCAGGAACACGATGCAACAGGTTCATGGATTATTTTCTTTGACAAATAAGGTCCCAGACAGGATCACTATTGAAGCTAAGACTACAAAGTTAATGAAGAGGCAGGAGAAATGTCCCCTATTGTCACTGAAATGAAGTGACCATAAACAAGAAGAACCATACCTAAAATTATTTAATGTGTACTATCATTTGTATTTTTCAAGGGAAAGGAGACAATGAGGTAGAATCTCACTGTGCAGCACAGGCTGGCCTGGAATTCATGACAGCCCTCCTGCCTCAGCCTCCCAAGTTCTGAATCATAAACCACTACACTCAGGTAGATTAGATCATAAATGTCTGTCAGTGGCTAGGCATTACAGCATGTTACAACCTGTGATATTACAGGGAAATTAAGACATCAGAAAGGGAAGGAAGAGGTCTAAAGTGAGTGAGAAGGAAGATAGGCAAAAATAATAGAATAAATATGCCAAAAAGCAGAAGGGAGGGTTATCTTGGGGAAACAAGAAAACCAGCAAGGGGAGGATGGCCTAGACTGGGTAGTAGGGGGCAGAAAAAGAACAAAGTCTAGTAACAGGTATGTGTGAAAGGATTATAATGAAACCTATTACTCTGGGTCCCAACTAATGTATTTAAATATTTAAGAACAAAACAAGAAAAAAATTAAAAATGGTTAGAACTTAAATATTGTCTTCACAGGAGAATGTGGCTGTGGGTGAATAAGTGATTAAGTGGCTGGGACAAGGCTCCTCTCAGCTCTGGCAGGAGGTAGGTAACAAGTCACAGGTAAGTAAGAGACACAAAAATTGTCTTTATAGATAATTGGTTCATCTTTGCAGCTGCCCTTAGAAAAGCCGATGAACAGGTTGTCTGGGCAAGGTAATGACCTTGGATTCATTAGACTCTCTTTAGTGGCTATTCTTTCCTAGTTATTCAAAGAAATACTTAGGGAGGGGGTTACAGGGAGGGGGTTACGACTACATTTTGCAAGAAATGTCTTCAGTCATTGGTGAACTTCTAAGAAATCCATAACTTGTACTTTGGGAAATAGAGAATGAAAGATGACTGGATAGACCAGGGCAGGAAGGCACGGGTAAGAGACCACAGTCTGAAGGCTCACCATGTCAAGTACCACACTCTGGAACATCATTTTCTGAATGCCAACACTAGACATAAAAACCCACAAGGCTGAAATTCCTACCTCTGGCTTATACCACTTTGTGTATAGCATACAGAGTACACTATACTGAACCTGCAGTTTTGTCCTGAAGGAGGCCTAGCAGTCCAGTGTGGAAAACAAACAGCATGACTGACACAGTATAGTAAGAAAAACATGACTAGATCTTTTGCAGATCAGAATGTAATAGCCACTTGTAAGTTTTGGTTATTGATGAGGTATGAGTTTCATATACCAAAGTACAAATTTCTTATCATATACATAATTTGAAATATTTTTCTCCTGAATTTTCTTTATTGATGGCAACCTGTGAAACATGATTTTTAAACATTTATTTTGTGTGTATACATGTGTGTGAGCATCCATGCTATAGTACACATTTGGAGGTCAGAGGACAGCTTACAGGAGTCTGTTTTCTCCCTGTACCCTGTGTACCCCAGGACTGAACCTAGGTCATCCACTGGGTTTGGCAGCAAACCAGATGTCAGTAAAGATCAGGTGTGTCTTTATCTGCTGAGCCATCTCACCAGCTCATTGCTTGTTTAAAATATATTCTTTACCAAGTTCATACAAGATACAATGTATCTTGATTATGTCTACCCCAACTCCATCCCAGTCACTCATCTTGGACATCACAAATATGTCTCCCTCCTATCTTCATGTCTTTGAAGCACAGAGGTTTTACTTTTGGTATCTGGTTTATTTTTTTCTTCATGTGATTTTGGAATCATATTTAAATAACCTATTGCCTGATTTAAAAAATTATAGTGATTTAAATTGTTTTCTTCTAGGAGTTTGCCAGTTTTAGCTCTGTGATGCATTTGGGGATACTTTTTTTGTGGTGCGGTAGAGGCCACAACTTTAAATATTTGCATGCAGGTATTCTGTTTGTTGGCATCATCTGTTTTGTTTCTTCACTCTGCCAGAGGAGGGAATCAAACTTAGGACCTTGCATGGGCTTAGAACAATACTGAGTAGAGGTGATGAAGTAGACACATATGAGCTACCGCCCCAGCCCTTGAAAAGCTTTTTTGAAAAGGCTTTTCTTTCTTATTCTGTTAGTTGAGTATTTCTGGCAAGAAGCCAAATGACTATGTGAGTATCTCTGAAATCCCAATCCTATTTCATTGATTTCCATGTCTGTCCTTAATCCAGTATTAAGTTTTGATTACTGTAGTGTTGGTTTGAGACAATGTCTCACTGTGAAATCCCCATGTGTCAGCCTCCCAAGAGCTGGCATATACCACAACACCCAGCTTCACCCTGGAAGAGCTAGTCTTACAGGTGTATACCACAACACCCAGCCCCAGCCTCCCAAGTGCTGAGCTTACAGGCATATACCACAACATCCACCTTGATTACTGGATTTTGAAAGAAGTTTTGAAATTCCTCCAGCTTTGTTTATATTTTCAAAATCATTTATCTATTTATAGTTTTTTCCATCTGCACATAAATTTTAGTGACAGTATATCAATGTCTATGAAGAATTCAGATGGGACTTCGATAGAATTGTGCTGAACCTAAAGATTAATCTTAGAGTATGACCGTGCGATAATAATGTTATTTTTCTGTTCTGTAAATATGGGCCATTTACTACATCTCCTTTTAATCCACTCAGAAATATCTTTTGGCACTAGCACCTGCTTGATGATTTGGAAAAACTTACATAGTTTTCAGAGTGTGACTGCCCTTCTTATGTGAAATTTATTCCTATTTCATTTACTTTGGTGCTACTAGATATAAAAGTTTTACTTTTATTAAATCTCTTATTTAATATCCATCAATACATAATATTTAATATCCATCCATACATAATATCCATAATATCCATATTGGGTCAAATATACTCCCTATATTCTCTCTAATTCCTCCCCATCCCCTAACTTTTCTCTCTCAGTGTCATATTCTCATTCTCCCTCCCCACATACCCCATCTCTCCCTCTCTCCTTTCTCCCTTCCCTTTAATACCAACGGAGTACATTTAACACTGCCTGTATAAGCAAAGGTATGGGACCTTTACATGGATAGTCTCTCAGAGCCTGTATCTATGAAGAAAAGTGATTCAGCCTCTCCCAATAGCTATCAGTAAGAGAAGGTGCTATGCATTCTATAGGGAAAGAAAAATAATAAATAGTCTTACCCAAATTAGAACCCTGTGAGCTACAATCATGACTGACCTGGCAGGATGTGCCCCCTGGGGTAATAGTGGCAAAGATGATATGGAGTAACCAGCCACTTTCTGTACCACAAGATGAAACTCAAGTCTAGAACAGTTAACTGAGACAAAACCAAAAGAAACAAAAGCTGTGTGTGGCTAAAACCTATTACTATCATTCTGCTAAATGGATATAGTAATAAACTATGGCCTTGTTGGAGGAAGTATGTTACTGCAGAGGTGGGCTTTGAGATCTTAGATATGCTCAAACCACACTCAGTAAGACAGACCACTTCCTATTGCCTGCAGGATCCAGATGTAGCAGTTCCATATCCAGCACCACGTGTGCCTGCACAATGCCAAGCTCCCCAACCTTAATGATAATGAACTGAACCTCTGAACTATAAACTGCCACCTCAATTAAATGTTTTCCTTTATAAAAATTGCATGTTTATGGTGTCTCTTCACACCAATGGAAACCCTAAGACAAGTACATCTCCAAATCCTTGGAAGAGAAGCTCCTCTTTACACTGGATGGTGATTAATAGAGAGACCCACACTGAATAACTGATTAACTGTGGAATACTCAGCTCTAAATGGGACATGTGTACTACATCCCCTCTTTCAGAGATCACTGCAAAAGGGGAGGTGACAGAAAGATTCTAAGAGCCAGAGGGGTTGGGTGTCTATACAGAAACAGGTTTTACCCAACACAATAATGCTGTTAACAGCACATATGAACTTCAGTGGTTGTACCTGCCTGCATAAGACCTGCACAAAATCAAGTCAGCCACAATGTCAGCATGGAAGGAGGAGGCACTCATGAAGTCTCATCCAGAAATAAGAGTCAGTTTTCTTCAGGGATGCTGCTCCTGGGAGGCTACCTATGCTCCAGGAGATGATCCTACACTCAAGCACATATAGGCAGCACTCAGTGGACTTGGTAGGTGTTTTAAATTTTTTTCCTAAGCTGGGTGGTTGTGGTGCATGCCTTTAGTCCTAGCACCCTCGAGGCAGAGGCAGGCAGATCTCTGGGAGTTCATGGCCAGCCTGGTCTCCAGGATAGGCTCCAAAGCTACAAAGAGAAACCCTGTCTTGAAAAACCAAAAAAAAAAAAAAAAAAGAAAAAAAAAGAAAGAAAGAAAGAAAAAGAAAAAGAAAAAGAAAAGAAATTCCTAAAGAGTATATTTAGTTGGGAGGAAAACATTGGGGGTACAGGAGAAGTATAGGAGGGAAAGTGGGGTAGATTTGATCAAAATGCATTGTATGCATATATAAAATTCCCAAACAATAGAAATCATCAGTGACTATATTTGTTCCTTGTCTTTTCTTTGTTGGAGCTTGTTTTTGTTATTGTTGCTGTTGTTGCTGTTGCTGTTGTTTTTGTAAATTAGAATTAGAAATCTGTGTTTTCTTCTTGAAACAGTTTCAGTAGTCTCTCTAGGAATGTGTTCATTTCTTTTAACAATCTGATGCCCTATATTTATTTTCATTTCTGTATAGTTGTCAAAATGTCCTTTTTATTTCTGGTTTTTGTAGTTATAATGTTGTCTTAGTCCTTTTTCTTTTGCCATAAGTAAGTACAGCAACTAGGTAATGTAGGGAGTACTTCTTGTAATTCACCTTTATGATTGTTATTTACAGATAATTTACACTGTTAAGTTTTAATCCTCTTTAGACTAAAAGGGGAATTGTAGGGGGAAATGATGACCATGCCCTCTTCGGGCTAGACACCGGTAACGCTGACCAGGCCCACTTGGGCATGGTCAGAGTGAGTAGCAAGGCTTTAAATATCAGAGAGCCACACACGTGGCCCTCTTTTTCTTTCTTCCGCCCAGCTGAGTGGACAAGCAGGCATCTGGTGTAAACCTGGTCACTGGCTCCGTTGTGTGAGTAGTTTCTTAATAAACTATCTGTGATCAATCTAGTTCTGACTTCACATAGCGTTCTACATTAAGGTAATTTATAGAAAACAGAGGTTTATTTAGATCAATTCTGTAGGTTGAGGGTCTGAGGGCATAGCACCTGGATCTGCTTAGCATTTTACTCACAGAACACAGTGGATGAAGTTACAGCAGGATGGAGCAAGTGTCTGAGCTCAGGTCTTTCCCTCTTACAAAGCAGTCTCAGGAAACACCCTGCTGACCCTGTCTATACAACGTGCTTTTATCACATTCACACCCTCCATTGCCATCATGGACATTAAGTGTTTTTACCTACTTATTTTTCTGTGTACAGGTGTTATACCTGCGTGTGTGTCTGTGAATCACATGCTGCAGAGGCCAGAAGATGGTGTCAGATCCCTTGAGACTAGAATTATGGACAGCTGGGAAACACCATGTAGGTGCCAAGAATTAAAAGGAGTTCTCTGGAAGAGCAGCTAGTGCTCTCAACTGTGGAGCTATCTCTATAATCACCCAATTTTTTCCTGTTAAGTTTGGTTCTACATATTCTCAAGTTGTATTGTGTGCATATTTTATTTAACTGTTACATCTTCCAAATGAACTAACGGTTTTATTATAAAAAGTCCTTCAGTAACATTTTTTGCTTGTACAATCTGCTTTGTCTGGTAGATAGCTCTTTCAACATCCTCATGGTTACCACATAGATAATATACTGTATCTTCCTTTTTCAATTGTTTTAAACATTTTCTGGAGGAGATATGGTCAAACGTAGGTTCCAGGGATTCAACTTGGGTCATTTGGCTTTGTGGCAAGTGCCTTCACCAGCCCCTGTGTCCTCTTATATTAACCTGTTTGTATTGTGGAATATATGAATTGATTTGTTTATGTCTAGAGATACTTTTGGGAGAGGACCAATGCATAAGGTAGACAGAGACCAGGGATACTGCTAAACAACCTACAGCATACAGGCCGCCTCCCCCACCATACACCCAACAAAGGCCAGGGATGCGCTACACAACCTACAGCATATAGGACAGCCCCTTCAATACACCCAACAAGAAATCTCTGGCCTCAAATGGCAATAGTGCCAAGGTTAACCCTGATTAAGGAAAATCGAGGACAGAGAACGTAAGGTAAAATATCCACAAGAGATGTGTCTGGGTGAAGGCTTTTGGCATTAATTTAAATGATTTTCTGTAATTTGGAAACTGTTTCCAAATTAGTTTGTTAAAACCTCTATTTAAGAGCACTGGCTACTCTTCCCAAGGACCTGGGTTCAATTCTCAGCAGCCACATGGCAGCTCATAGCTGCCTGCAATTCCAGTTTCAAGGGACCCAACAATTTCACACAGACATACATGCAGGCAAAACATGAATGCACATGAAATAAAAATAAAGAAATCATTTTTTAAAACCTCGATTTAAAGTATATTTGTAATGATTACTTTATCATGCATTAAACTGTTGCATATAAAAGTGGACTTATGGGGGGGGGCTCTCTGTTTTATTCAGAAATATAAACTGATTTTCTTTCCAGTATCGTATTCTTTTCTGTTCTTTGTAAACCCAGCCAGTTACCCATTATCAACAGATCTTTTTATAAACCATGCATACATATACTTTGCCAATTTGTTGTTTTACAATTTAATCTGATTTAGCTACAAAAAAAAAAAAAACCTCAACAGGCCTGGTGTTGGTAGCACATGCCTTTAGTCTCAGCACTCAGGAGGCAGAGGCAGGCAGAGTGAGTTCAAGACCTGCCTAGTCTACAAGAGTTAGCTCCAGGACAGCCTCCAAAGCCACAGAGAAACCCTGTCTCGAAAAACCAAAAAAATAAAAAAATAAAAAAATAAAAAACCTCAACAGTATATTGCTTGAAGCAAGCTCATAGTTCTGTGTTTGGTCCCTAAAACCACAGGCAGGGGGAAAAAGTCCTCTACTTCATTGGGTGAATAACACCTCCTGTAGAATTGAGTCAGTGGATGACCTAACTATAAAAGGGCATGAGGACTGATGTACACATTAAGTGTGCTGTGTTCAGAAATCATAGAATCAGCTTCCCTTCCATAGAAACAGACTGGGAAAGCTGAGGATTCATTCAGGCATAAGCAGATTTCTGTGCTCCCAGACTTTCTGGGACACTCAAAATACAAAGGGACATCAAGAGACATTAATAGCAAACATATAGATGGATAAAAACAATGTGTTAAGAACCTATTTTTCAAAATTACATGTGAAAAGAACACTTGAGGTTTTTGGACCACAGAATCTTTCTTATGAGATTTTATTTATTTTTACTTCCATTCTGCCTGAATGGAAGCCTATGCACCATGGGAGTGCAGTGTCATCAGATGGCAGAACACTGCTAAAGATACCCTGAAACTGGAGATACGGGTGGTACTGAGCAGCCATGTACGTGGCCAGAACTGAACTCTATATAACCTTAATTTTAGCGCCTGAGAGATAGAGACAGGTAGATCTCTGTAAAATCAAGGACAGCCTGGTTTACATAAGAAGTTCCAGGACAGTCAGGGCTACATACTCAAAAGAAGAAAATATAATCCACCCAGCACTTGGGAGGTAGAGACAGGTAGATCTCTGTGTATTTGAGGCCAGCCTCGTCTACAGAGCTAGTTCCAGGACAGGCTCCAAAAGCTACAGTGAAACCCTGTCTCAAAAAACAAGTGGATCTCTGTGAGTTTGAGGCCAGCCTGGTTTACAGAGCTAGTTCCAGGACAGCCAGAGCTGCACAGAGAAACCCTTTATCAAAAAAAAATTAAAACAAAATAAAAATAAAACAAAAAAGAAATGTATTTAAAGAATTAAAATGAAAATACGAACTCTTAAGTACAAAAGACCTATCTTCATCAACAATTTTATTTTTTTAACAGAAACATTTATAACAAAAGGTCTTTTCCTATGTAAGTTGAATATTAACTATGAAAACAGAAGGTCAGTTCTCACCCAAATGGTACTCCAAGGGCACCCAAGGGAGTCACCAGGACTGTAGGGACCGCGGTGTATGCTAGGAAGTTTCCAATCTGGCCAACAGCCACTGTCAAGAGAATCACAAGGACACCACTGCCATTTTTATCACCGGTCAAAATTTTGCAAGAGTCTGTTCTGAAAGGGTTTCTTTTGAATCATTTCTGAGAAAGTGAATCTACATGTTCACAAACCCCAATGGCAGAATGGCACTGGTCGGGAGAGTAATCTCAACTCTACGGAAACGTCCAGTATTACCACTGTAACAAGTACAATACTGAATATATTTCCAGTCTTTAAATTCTTTCTTAAATTATTTTTGCTTTTATATTCCTATTTATTTATTTAGTGACAAAATGTACCATAAAAGTAGTACATGGGCTAACCATGTAATGCTTGGGCACATGCATGTGCTATATATATATACTATCTCAATCAGGTTAAACACAACTATCTACTCAAACATATTTCATTGCTTTATGGTGCCAACACTCAAAATGTTTTCAATTTTTATGATAGTATTTTCATTATCTACAGATGCACTATGCAGTAGTACACCAAGGAACCTTAAGGCCTTTACTAGCAACTTAACACCCAGTGATCAATTTTTCCTAACTACCTTCAAGTGTCCTTGGACCTGCTCTTGCATGAGAAGCTGGCCAGAGCTGGGTTGTACAGGCCTCCCAGGTGCTTCACTTAAACACAGCTTAAAAGGAGATTCCCCAATGAGCAGCCTCAGCCTCAGCTACGAAGCATTTTGCTTAAGAGACATTATATGACAAACCACGTGGGTATTTTTTTAATGTATAGTTTACTATTTAAGATCATGTAGCACCATTTAAGTAGTTTACCATTTAAGATCATGTCCCTTGAGTAAAAAAAACTTCTTTGTTAAATTAACTGTGCTTACAAAGCAAGACAGCCTGAACATGGTGTTACATCGAGTGCCATCAGCTCTGCTACATACCGAGGAAGGAGAAAGTGCTTTAGCTTCTCCCCATCAGGGCTACCCACCTGGTGGACAGCCAGAGCATCTGCCCCCTTCTCCCAGTCAGCACTCCACACTTTCTCATCTCCTCTCTTCTAACAAATGAAAGGACAACAGGGAAAGAGAGGGAATCTGAAGTGCAGAGTGGGAAGTACAGGAGGACCTTCAAAGTCATACTCTTCTTGTCCCTTCCAGCCCCGCCCAGGTGAATGTCTGACTTTAGAAATAGACACCAGAATCTTTGCTATATAAGCCACTTACTTGCAATTGTGCCAGCCCACCACACAATGTCTGTTAAGTATGAAGTACCTATAAAAAAAAATGAGAAGAACATCAGAAAAGCAGGTTTATTAGGAGTGTGTGTGGTGTGTGTGTGTGTGTGTGTGTGTGTGTGTGTGTGTGTGTGTGTGTGTGTGTGTGTGGTGTATACATACAAGTCTATAGGGGTATGCACAACTGTGCACATGTTTAGGCCAGAGAAAGGAATCAAGTATCCTGCTCTGTTGCTCTTATTTGCCTTATTTCCTTGAAAGAGGATCTCTCCCAAAAGCTGGAATTCAATTTTTTGCTAGGCTGGTGGCCAGCAAGCCCCCAGCAATTCACCTGTCCCTGCTCTGGGGTTACAGATACTCATGAAGCCATTCCCAAATTTCTCCATGGGTGCTAGGATATGAACTCAAGAGCCTCAATGTTACGATGAATCTTTCCGCCAAAAGCCACCCAAGCCCCACCACCACATGTGCGCTTTACGACAGCCGCCCACCCGAGTTAGGGCCCCAATTAATGCACAGAGAGACTTGTATTAGGTTCAAATGCTGCTTGGCCAATGACTAGTATTCCTCATCTGTTAGCTCAGTCTTAATTATCATAAACCTATGTATTTTATAACATTTATAAAGGATGCCTTTCGCTGGCACCCTCTCTTGCCGGTGGCTCACATGGCGCCACTGGAGAAGGAAGGGGAAAGGGGGGTGGGGCTCAGGAGGCTTTTGGCAGAAAGATTTATTGTAACAAAATGATGTCAGTGAGCGGGATGACCCCATGCCCCAAGGTTCCCAGAGAAAGAGGGAAACCTGCTGTGAGGGAAACCTGCCTCTCAGTACCTCAATAATTGTACATCAAGCATTTTTACCCACTGAGGCATCTCTCCAGCCTTTAGAAGCAAGTTTATAGACTATAAACTATATATGGGTGCTGGAGAGATGGTTCAGAAATTAAGGGCAGTTACTGTTCTTACAGAGGACCCAGTTCCTAGCACCCACCCCAGGCAGCTCACAACCGTCTGTAACTCCAGCTTCAGGATACCTAACACTGTTCCAGTCTCTGAAGACACCTGTACATGCTGTATCCCTTCTAACACACCTCAATACACAGAGACAGAAAGACAGACAGACAGACAGACAGACAGACAGACAGACAGGCAGGCAGGCAGGCAGGCAGGCAGGCAGGCAGGCATGCACGCACGCACGCACGCGCGCGCACACACACACACACACACACTATGTAGCTAAAAAATTGTTTCAATCTTTTTTTAAAAGCTATTATGTGCCATCAAGTAAGAGATTTACAATTGCACTTAAGAGAGAAACCTTCACATAAAAACTAAATAATAAAAAAGAATGAGTGTTATCTTGCTTATTTACCTCATAAGTAATCTCTAGTCTATCAATAGGTGAGAAGCCACTAAAATTGTGAAGTTGTTTTGGGGTGTTTTGCTTTTTTTTCTCAACCAATACAGGCTAATCCCAAAGACAATTTGCTCATAGATTGGTTTTCTTTGGCTAAATAAGTCACTACCTAAAACACAAATATTCTTGAGACTTTCCACCCTATTCTCCTGCCTCATGGGGACTTCTAATTTTAAAACTGATTTTTTTTTTTTTTTTTTGGTTTTTCGAGACAGGGTTTCTCTGTGTAGCTTTGGAGTCTATCCTGGCTCTTGCTCTGGAGACCAGGCTGGCCTCGAACTCACAGAGATCCACCTGCCTCTGCCTCACGAGTGCTGGGATTAAAGGCATGTGCCACCAATGGCTTAAAACTGATTTTTTTATTGCTGTGGGTAGGGTTATTTTTTTCATCAGACCCTAACCTTAAGGTGACTGTCAGGTACAGAGGAAACTCATTTCCCCTAATTCTGGCGGTTAGACAAAAGTCAGCATTCCTCAAGAACTTTGAAGCTGCTTCTCCTCTACTAAAAGAGGGCATTTACCTTGTTACTGGCAGGAGGGACATATGGCTACCTGTGGTGTCTATTAACATACCAAAGAACAAGCTGGCCTCCAGGCTCTCTCAGTATCATAAGTACCTGCCACACACTTCAGAGTCCAGGAGCCCAGACCTTCTTACCTCTTCCCCTACCTTGAACTTTTCCAGCTCAAGGGTTTCCCTTGTCCCAGCTACTCATGCTCCTTATAGGCCTGCTATTCCAGCTTCGGGCCCTCTTTTCCCCAAGTTCTCTTTGTCTTCCTCTCTCAGCCTCCCTTGCTCCCACTCTGTCTCACTCTCTGCTCTGCTCCTTCTGTCTCCTGGCCAGGTCCATTTTCAGTCTACTATTTTTCTCTCCATGCTCCGGACTCTTCCAAATGCCTCTGGCTGTTCTCTCCCTCATATCCACAAGAAAAAACCTTACCTTTAACCAAACCATGGAGCAGTCATGTTGTCAGTTTATACAGTGATGTCTTATTACCTGGGAAATTATATCTATACCTCACTGAGGGTCAGTGTGTTGCCTACAGTAAATGGTCAGAAAAATTTGAGAAAGGTAGCCTAGAACAGCAAAAGTAAGTAAGGCCTAATGGTAGGGAAGTGGGAAGCAAAGTCAGTTAGTAGTCACCAGGTAATGTCAGCAGGCAGATGTTAGGAACCTGCAGGGGCCTGAACAAGGACAAATGTATGTGTGCATGCTTGCATGTGTTTCTGTACGTTCTTACGTTCTTACTGTACGTTCCACTGATTAAACTCTGGTCTTCAGGTTTGCAATTAATGTGCTTTAAGCTAATGAGTCATCATGAGCACTCATGGGGACTTCTGAAGTAGGAGCAAATGGATCTTGCATTATAAGATGGCCAAGGATGGGATGCTGTGATTTGAATATGAAATCTCCCCCAGAAGTTCATGTGTTTGCACACCTGGTCCCCAGCTTCTGGTGCTGTTGGGAAAGTTGTGAAACTTCAGGAAGTGGAGCCTTGCTGGAGGAAGTATGTCACTAGGAGTGGGTCTTAAAGTTTAATAGCCCAGCTCCCTGCTTCCTGACTGCAGCCACATGCTGCCTCATGCACCCATAGCCCTGTCTTTTTTGACGTAATGGATGGGATTCCTTCTTAAACTGTAAGGTTTATGAAACAAACACTCCATTAAGTTATTTCTTTTTGTTTTTTGTTTTTTTATTTTTTTAAAGATTTATTTATTATGTATACAGTCTATATAGTCTTCTGCCTGCATGCCAGCAGAGGGCACCGGATCTCATTCAAGGTGGTTGTGAGCCACCATGTGGTTGCTGGGAATTGAACTCAGGACCTTTGGAAGAACAGTCAGTGTTCTTAACCGCTGAGCCATCTCTCCAGCCCCATTAAGTTGTTTCTTGAAAGGAATCTGGTGACATCAAGTAGCAAAGCAGCTAATAGCAATGATCACCCACAGTGCAACTGTTTCCCACATCAGGAATCCTGTCAATTAACAAGATACATGAATGAAGGTAGAGGGACAGATCCCAGAGGCACCAGGATAAACACATGAAAGAAGCCAATATTAAGAGGAAACCAGAAACTTTCCTGAACACTGGGTACATATGTAATAAAACCACATCATCACAAAGAAACACAATATGGCTGGGTGGTGATTCACATCTTCAATACCAGCACTCAGGAGGTGCACGCAGAGGCAGGTGGATCTCTGTGAGTTCCTATATTGAAGAAACGAAAGGAAAGGAAAGGAAAGGAAAGGAAAGGAAAGGAAAGGAAAGGAAAGGAAAGGAAAGGAAAGGAAAGGAAAGGAAAGGAAAGGAAAGGAAAGGAAAGGAAAGGAAAGGAAAGGAAAGGAAAGGAAAGGAAAGGAAAGGAAAGGAAAGGAAAGGAAAGGAAAGGAAAGGAAAGGAAAGGAAAGGAAAGGAAAGGAAAGGAAAGGAAAGGAAAGGAAAGGAAAGGAAAGGAAAGGAAAGGAAAGGAAAGGAAAGGAAAGGAAAGGAAAGGAAAGGAAAGGAAAGGAAAGGAAAGGAAAGGAAAGGAAAGGAGGGAAGGCAGGAAGGCAGGAAGGAAGAGAGAGAGAAAGGGAGAATGAAAGAAAATGCACACACACAAAACATAAATGACCTATAATGGTAATGGGCCTAATCTTGAACTCTTCTGGAATCTGGACGGGGCCTAGCTCTGCCTCATTTCCAAGTTCATGTGTTTATCTCTTCTAAGGAACTATCTCTTTTCCCATTCTATGTGTCTTTGTCCAAATCACTGTTTGCAGACACAAGAACCTGCCAATTCCAGCAGATGTGATCTGAACTCTGCTCTGCACCTGTAACTACTGACCATCAAGCAGCTGGGTGGGAAGCAGTAAAGACTTTCAACTGCTCTCATCCTTAACAGGAGGACCTACTATAGCGCTATTCTCTTCTTTCTTGGGCACTTGGAAACGATGGGAAAGTTCCCACAGAATGCCTGATCAAAGTCTGCAGAGTCCAGACTCAAACACTCTTTTCTCATCTTTCCCTGCCATGGTGCCCAAGTTTGGTTCCTATTGCTATCACCAAAACCAACATGCACAGGAAAGCTTATTTGGCTTACATTTCCCAATCACAGTTCATCATGGAGAAATGTGTCAGAGCAGGAATCTGAAGGCAGGAACTGGAGCAGGAGCTAAGGAGAAGCAGTGCTTACTGATTTGCTCTCCATGGCTTAGTCAGCCTTTCTTTCTTTCTTTCTTTCTTTCTTTCTTTCTTCCTTCCTTCCTTCCTTCCTTCCTTCCTTTCTTTCTTTCTTTCTTCCTTTCTCTCTCTCTCTCTCTCTCTCTCTCTCTTTCTTTTTTTTTAAAGATTTATTTATTTATTATGAATATAACATTCTGCCCCTATATATATGCCTGTACACCAGAAGAGGGCACCAGATCTCATTATAGATGGCTGTGAGCCACCATGTGGTTGCTGGAAATTGAACGCAGGACCTCTGGAAGAGCAATCAGTGCTCTTAACCACTGAGCCACCTCTCCAGCCCCAGCCTGCTTGCTCAGGAATGGCACCCCACAGTGGGCTGGGGCATCCTACATCAATCATTAATCAACACTTGTTTTTCCTTCCAGCTTCCTGGAGGCCCACTAGGAAT